CTAGTTTGATATGTATTCTAGCCGTGAAGACTCTTTCCATAAAGAATTTAAGGAAAATCTTCATAAATTTATTGGTATCTTTGACTGTTTATTCTGGAAGTGTCTCATACTATTTGTTTGCGGTGTCTTTTAGAACTAATAGAATTCTCATAACCAGTGTTTGTTTATCCCATTCATTGATGATAGCAATCTTAGAGACTTCCATGATCCAGTCCATTGGATCGTCACTTTCATCATTTTCTTTGAAAATTAGTAGTTTATATTCTTTTAGTTGTGGTGATCCTCCTTGTTGTTGTAGTTATTCCTGAAGTTTCACAAGTCTTCGCAATGAGATATAATCATTATTATCATTGTTATCAGAATCATCAGAGTCAGAATCATCAGGATTATCTTCTATTTCTTGAGCAACTTGATGTCACATTTATTGAAGATTTTTCATTTTTCTTTTCTCAACTGGTCTTTTTCCTTTTTCTTCGGTCGATCGTGAGCTTCTTTTTCGAGATTCTTCATCTTCTTGTTCACTATCATAACCAATTTCTTCTTTCTTCTGTGTGGTGATTAATGTAGTTCCTGTACTCATCATTTTTTGTTCCAGTTCGATTATTGGAGAGTATAATTTCTGCAATTTTTCAGTTAGTAATTTCTGTTATTCAATTACCTTACTTACCTGATTCTCATTCCCTCTATTTTCAATTGCTTCTTCTTCTTTCATTATTTTGATGATCATTTTCTCGATAAGTTGAATTTATTCTTTTAATATTTTCTTTACTTCTCGGATAGTTGCTTTAATCTTTTCTTTTAATACTCTTTCTTGTTCTATTAATTCTGCTAGGATACTTTTGACAGTGCTTTCATGACTTATTAATTCATTATTGTCAGATTTAATGAAGGCTGTGTTGGCATTTTCTGCATTCTTTTCATCAGATTTGGTTAAACTGAATACGATCTCAGCATTTTCTTGACAGTGTTCAAATATGAGCTTCTGGAGGATTCAGATATAGTCTTTACTTTCAGCTTCTATGTGTACAGCGAATCTTGTTTGTATGTTTCTTGTTGGATCTTTTCCTTTCAGGTAGAATTGAATGCGATCTTGATAGAATCAGTTGAATATTTCTTTGAGACTTGGTTTTTCATTTATTTCACAATCATTCAGAATTTGTTGATATAATTGATCTTGATGTCTTTCAAATTCTTCTTGATTTGCCACTATGATGACTTGTTCTTTAGAACTTTCTGATTGGTGTGATATTTTTCTTTTTGTTATTTCACCATTTGATTCATTTGTTATTCATTTCTTTAATATTTGTTATGTCTGGTTTTGTTTGGATGGTGATATTTCTTGTAAGTATTTTTCTTTCAGTTTTTCTTCTTATTTTTAATTGTTTTAATAGTTAATTTTAACAATCATTATTATTTTTCTTTTAATTAATTTTATTTTAATGATTTACTATTATTGACTTCTTTATTTTTTTCTTCAGTTAGTTTCTTAATCGACATATTCAGACGGGTCCTACGGATCAGGGACGTGGGATATTATTGTTAAGTATATTTATTATTTCAGTTATTGATGGAATTTAGAGTTCCGAAAAAAGTCTAATTCGAAAATTCGAATCTAATTAAAAGTTTAGTTCGAGTTTGGTTCAAATTTTGAACCTGACTCGAACCTGACCAAAAGTTTGGTTCGAGTTCAAGTAAATATTTATTGATATTCTAAGTAAAGTTGTAGATCGTAATATGAGTTACAAATTGATATAAGATGATTAATATTTAGGATAAATATTTAAGAAATTATATGAATTTAAAAAATAATTTTAATTATTACAATTTTAATCTACTTTAGTTTTAGTATAATAAACATTTATTTTGCTATAGTAATTATAAACTATGATTATAAGTAAATTGTAGCCAAAAATAAGAGCTACAAATTGGTATAAGATAGTTATCATTAATAATAATTATTCAGAGAGTTACATAGCATTTATGATCAAATTTAATATTCGTAAAAATAAAAACACTTTAGTTATCACTATGTAAACTTTTAATTTTTACTAAATACCATAAATTATACTTATATGTAATGTTGTAGTTTATATTTAGAGCTACAAATCGGTATATGATACTATATACCAATCTTTAATCGAACTCGAACCAGACTCGAACTCGTATAATGGTTCAGTTCAAGTTCAGTTCGAACTTTGAACCTTTCTTGAACTCAAGCCAAAGTCTGGTTTGAGTTCAGTTCAAATTTTGAACTGAACTTGAACTCAGACAAAAGTTCAGTTCAGTTCATAGGAACACTAGTGGAATCCTCTCCGTAATAACTGTAACTGTTCTTCTTTCTGTAGGTGAATAGACTTGGATGTGGATAACTTCAACGATTTCTGATTATCCTAAACCTGTTGATCAATATATATAACTCCAAGTAGTAATAACTTGTGATGGCATTAATTAATTCTTTCTTTTAGGTTTATTACTCTCTGAAATCGATCTCTTCTGAATGATCCCTCTGGTGAGCTCGTCAAATGTCATGATCAGGCTTCTGGTAGATATAATCGTGATGTAGGTGTTTAATCAATGTCTGATGATGGTAATTTTATAGTTACTCAATCTCATTGTAATTGGTATACTTCAGGATCATCACATAGTGTGTTTTCTTCTATTTTATAGATAGACTTTCACTATTACTAATAGATGTTATGTTTACTTAGTGTGAGACAGTCCTATAGCAATACAGTACTAATATTCTATAGCAACTTTGGTGGTTGTTCAATAGTGCGCAATAAATGCAAGTATTTTAATAAGTTATTATTTTTAATCAATTAAATATACAAATTTCATTAACAATAAACAAGGAATAATTTATTGACTAACTAGATTTTTGTATTGATCAATTGATATCTTTTTCAAAGCTTCAATTGTACTTTATTTATAATAAATATTTTTTATTAATAAATGTTACATTTATGATTAATTATATAAGTTAATAAATAATAGATACTATGTAAATAATGATAATTATGATAATTATTGTAAATGATGATAATTATGATAATTGTTGTAAATTATCAAAATTATGAAAGTTATAGAATTTATGAAAATTATGAAAATTATGGAAATTATATAAATTTCCAGTCATAACAACATCTCAATAAAGTAGCAATATAATCAAATCTGAAAAGTTTATTATGTATAGTTTATTCATCTATCTCAAAATTAGTATGTATTTCTTCAAGTTGAATCTTGATTTTAGTTGCTGTAACAAAATTATTTGAATTTATAATTTTGTTGATTTGGTAATACATATCAAATAAGATTTTGCATGAACAATCAGAATGATGAATTTTTTAAATTTGATCATTTTTACAAAGTTAAACTATATAATATCTACAGAAATGAAGAGAAATATCAGTTTTTAAGAAATTTCTGTTATGTTTTAATGAACTTGTTATCATAATTTCTTAACTGCTTCACAGTTTGCTTGCATGGAATTGTGTATCATTTTGAAAGGTAATACTGATTATTAATTAATATATTTCTGTTAAAAATAAACAAAAAGTGTAGTGCTGATCTGTATGTGTACTGATAATAACTTTTTGATTATTTGAATAACAAATACATCTCTGGCAAGAGTTACACATGTACAATTCAATTAGCCATTACTTTCTGGAGAGAACTGTATATATATATATATATACTTTTTTTAAACTAGAATTATTACATTAGAATGTTCAATTGATTAATTAATTAAAATATATATAATTAGAATAACATATATTGATTATTTTCTATTAGTTTTCATGAATTATTTTTTGGTTTTGAAATAATAAATTACTATAATAAAAATATTGATTGTCAAAAGTTCAAAAATTATATACATATAATATATTAATTATATTTACATATATATATATATATATATATATATATATGTATATATGTATACAGTACATAGATATGTATCTTTGTTTCTATATGTATTTGAATAAAAATTTAGTTATTAAAAAAAGTAAAGATTATTTTGGCTTGTCGATTAGATTTTAAACTCGTAAATCAGGTAGTGATCATTTGTAAGTCAACAAGAAGTTATCGAAATTTAGTTAGATATTACATGTATTATATAAAAAGAAAAAATATCATAACTGGATTTTTTCTTATTTTCAGTTTTCTCATCATTTGAAATCTCAAAGAAAAAAGAGGTATTTTATAGTAATTTAGTTTAATTAGTAATTAGGTAGTTTTATTTGAAAGAAAATTAATGATTAATAAGTGTTAGATGGTTAATTTACTTTTTATATTCTTTATATAATTAGTCTGTGCTCTTTTTAATAAGTCCTTTTTATAGTGATCTCAACTTTTAACAAAGCTTTTTAAAAAACATCTATAAAAAAGTATGATATTCCTATCTATTTCCTGAAGATTAGGGTTAATATTTGGGAATAAGATCAATATTGGTCGAATTCTTTTCATTTACAACAAATCATTTCCATTTTTTACTTTGGAATTACATCACATCAGATATAATGTCAGATAGATACCAATTTTTCAACAAAAGTCGTTTTAAACTAACGTTAAAGACTATTTATTTTATCGCTTGAGAGTCAAGATTATAAGTAAAACTGCCTTCCGACAATTGTTTAGTGTTTCAAACAAATTCTTATTGGTTAATGCTACCTGATAGGAGAAAATTACTGTCTTATTGATTTGTAATTACGTGAAAATGACTTTTTGTTGACTACACTGGGAACAAAATAATTAAAACGTATTTTACCCATAAGACTTTTATTTAAACATGACATATATTTTGATTTATCCTTCGAAAAGAAACGTTAGTATCAGCATATGTAACTGAAAAATAAAATTACTCAATTTTATTGAATCTTACACTGACACAAGCGCAGAAGCATTTAGGCATTCCAATACCTGATTCGATATATATCAATAGTCCATTTATACCTCTTCAAGAAAAGGAAGGTGACTTGTAATTGCTTTTAGATTATTGTTTATCTTTTTTCGATTTCACGCTTCCATTCATATTTTCTATCATTATGAAGGCCATAAGCATTATCTTCTCCATCGTTATTTATTTCAGCTGAAGCAATATATTCATTTTCTAGTAATCCTCTTGAAGTTACTTCCCAACAGACCATGTGATAATCGAATCGCTTTATTAAAATCCAATACACGTATTTTAATACTCTAATACTCTGACAAGCCAACAAAGTGCAGAATGAAAAGAAATATTTTATATAGTAAACTTCGCCAAGTCGAATCCTTCAAAAAAATATTTAAAAAAATAATTATTTCCAGAAATTATTGTTTATTATTCAAAAATTTCGATAGCTGATTAAATAATAAAAATAAAAATCGGAAATTTGGCTGCACAAAACATATCAGTGTATAAAAAAATCGTCTTTAAATCAAAAATCTCTCTTAATCGAAGTTAGAACTAGTCGATTTAAAGAGGTTTACTATGTACATGTATATACTTTGTAACCATTTAGGACTTGTATCTTAATTCGATCTAGCTGGTATCGGATAATCTTACCTGATCTGAGCATTATCGTTATATATAGTCTTCATGTGTTTATTAACTATTAATTATTATAATATTAATTAAAGTTTCGGTTAGGGCTCGGATTAGAATCAGCGTAAGATTATTTATGATATACAGTAAAATTTCGCAGGAACATTTTTTATTAGAGCACAAACAATAGTTTCATAGGCAAAATTTCAAGATATATGTACAAAGCTATTTGATTGGTGCATAATATCGGATGGCCGGCATTGGGATCGAAATCATGTGACAGTAACTTTTTTGGGGATTCAATAAAGCGTTGTATCCACGTGATATTAAGCCAATAGAGATGCGTAAATTTTTGACAATAACCAATAAGAATGCATAAATTTTGATCAACTCGGCAAAACAAATCCGATCCAAGATGAAAAATGTTAATATTACGAGAAAACTAATGTCTGAATCTATCTTGGATTATTCATAAAAAATGTCGAGAAGGCAATTGTACATATAAACTTGTCCTCTAACCCAATACCTTACTCTTATCCTGACTTTAATTGGACGCACGCTAAAAATTTCGAAGTTGGTCACGTGGATACAACGCTTTATCGCATTCTTTTTTTCCGTACTTCCGGACGATCACACAATTAATTCAGATTATGCACTCCGTATCGGTATGTGGCACTACGTTAAAAAAATTACAAAATATTATGGCTAGTGTGAAATGTCATTATACAAAGGAAAACTCAATAGCCTACCGCTACATTTCATTAAATTCGATTTATTACATCTTAATAAGTTGTGCTAAACATCGATGCGATGTCGATGATAATAAAAAGTTCGAATATAAAAATCTTAAAAGAAATGTGCTGAAGTTTAGCGCAAAATTACAGTATACGAATCAGAAGAATTAAAAAATATAACAAAATTCGATATTATACGTGATAACGATTTAAACGTAACATGAGTGATTGTGCGCAGTTATTAAAGGAATATTTGGTCGAAAAAAAATGTATAACTTCTTTCTTCCTTAACTAGATTAATTTACCACTTACCAAACTGGCCCAGCGTTTAGTCGACGATGAAATTCAAAAACAGCTGGACCAATTGTTAAAGTCTGATTTACATCCGGTTAGGGATCGTTCAGGGACTCCTAGATATTAATTAAACCTCTTCTCAAAATCACTGGCTAATCGGAACGGTACCATTTTACAACCTACGCGTACGATCGACTAGATCTGGTAATCTCGTTGGTTAAAGTTTAGCCAATCACATATTTTTAAACCCACAATTTATATCAAGTGAAATCCAAAATATGTCAAATTACACCTACAAGAGATGTAGTAACAATTGCCTTTCTGACGGAAGCATCCTCTACTGGTCAGAGACTCTGAAGAACCAGCCTTCATACAAGAGCTTGAAGGAGATGGCGTTGGGGAGTACCCACTTACTCGGACCTGGTACGACATCCCGAAAACCATAATCCTCGACAACCCATAAACCTGACTAACAAAATACCGAAAAGACGGCATCCCGAATGCACGAAATCCCGAAAGCACAGCATCCCAAATGGACGAAATACCGAAAGAACGGCATCCAGAATGCACGAAATCCCTATTCTCCTTAAATATTTTTGCAAAAAAATATTATCTACTTTTATAAAAATATTTCCTATAATATTTCTCAGCATGATTGATAAAATTCTTCCGATATTTAAAATCTTAATATTTCACTTCATTAATTTCATTGATATATCTGTGCATTCGGGATGCTGACCTTTCGGTATTTCGTCCATTCGGAATGTTGTGCATTCTGATTTAGTGCATTCGGGATGCCGTGCTTTCGATATACATGTATCATACATTCGGCATGCTGTGCATTCGGGATTTCGTTTGTCGGGCTTATGGGTTGTCGGAATTGTGGTTGTCGAGATGTTGAACGTCACCGACTTACTCGGCATTCACTAACGCTAAGATTCCGGATCATCAAGCAATATCATCAGAGATCGTACAAAGTGAAAAAAAGTATGTTTTCGTAAAAATTCAATTTTACTTTGCTTAAATATTAATGTTACTTCTAAGCTGTTTCAGTAAATATGACCGAATTCGTCGAACTTTGAATTCTGCAATTACCATTCGTTTCGATAATAGTTGATTTAGTCTAATGTTGACACATAAATTCAAGTAAATATTTCCATATTGTATTCTAATACAAATATATTTCTAATATCGTGCACAGACATTTATTGACGAAGAAAAGTTTCAAAGCGCTAACCTTTAATGAATCTCTTTTATTGCTCAAAAAGAACTCAATCTACAATGCAAAGACTGGAATAAAATATTTCATCGTCGAATGACTGGGAAACACTTTACTTAAATTTATCCAAAATTACGCGCCACTTCTGTCGATAAACTCAAATTAACATAAGCTATTTTCTAACAAATCAATCATTACGAAAAGAATGGTTGAAAGAATTCATTGGCCAGGCTTCAGTTCGAGAATCGGATGTGGCGTAGTCTAATAAGTGGAGCGACCACCGAAAGTTCGTGTCACGTGTCAATTCTTTGATGACGTCAAGTAGTACCCTAGCCATGGCGAAAAAAATGTACGGTGCACGGGATGATGGACCAATTCAATCAATAAGAATGCGCAAAAATTCTGCGCAACCGATAGGAATGTAGCAAATTTTTGATCAACCCGACAAAACAAATCCGGCACAAAAAAATGAGAAAAGAGAAAAAATGCGAAAAATACAAAAAACAGATGTCTAAATCTAGCTTGGCGCTCTATCAAAAAATGACAGGAAGACAATGTTATATATAATCTTGACCTCAGCTCTAACCATAATCCTATTACTTGATATCTAATATTAATCGGATATTTTAATGGACCTATTTCAGATCACGCGCACCTTATATTTTTTCGCCATAGTTAGGGTACTATGAGAAAAGGATTAGGGGAGGCTCTGGGTCAAGGTTATTTGGCAAACAAAAAATGTATTTATATGAAAATTTCGCAAGGAACATATTTTATTGGAAACAAAAGATAGTTTCATGGACTAGATTTTGATATCAAAAATATGTCTTTGTTTTGTTTATTTTTGAATTTTCGTGTTACACGTTGATTTTGCAATTTAATCAAAAAATTGTCACGTGGCCCGAACTTTCGGTGGTCGTCCTGGCGGAATCAATAAGTGGGACGTTCATTAAAAGAGGTGACATAATCAAAGCCAAAATTTGAAGATTTAATTGGATTGAATTCTTCAGACGACAAGTTACTCTATGATTTCTTAAGAGTTGAAACAATTTCAATGCTGAACATTATTGATTAATAAGCCAAGTTTGCAAAATGAAATACATCTATTTTGGAACAATATCCAGTAAGCTATAAAATAGTGGCAATCATTGATTTACTTTACACGATCCAGGACCCCGAACACTCTATATAGAGGTTATAATCCAAATCTAATTTTTTTACTCATTTAACAGTCGAATATTTCTTAACTTTTAAAAAAATAAATTTACACAAATTTTATAAAATTATAAGAAAATTAAATGAGTAAAGTATTTTGGATCCTGGCTAATTACACGATAATGATTGTTAACAATTTCAGGAACTTATACTCAAATCCTAACTATGATAAAATATGACCCATTAATTTTGCTCACTAAAATTATGACATAATTGAAAATCGACTTTTTAACACAGAATTTTAGACCTCAATTGTTTGATTTGTGACGTAATTACAATTGCACAGTGAAGTTCACTTAAACGAAGATTTACTTAAACGAATCTTACTATATAAAGAAGATTTTAAAACTTTATTTTAAAGAGACCACTTTAACGAAGGATTCATATTAACGAAGTTTTTAATTGGAACGGGACCTTGGTTAAAGGGAACTCCACTGTGTACGATCCACATATATTGATAGTGTTCGGGGTCCTACAGTAACTTTACATTACATTATCGTTAAACAGATTCTTACAACAAAGGATTTGACATCTTCATGCATTGAAACGTGAAGAAGCCAACCCAATAAAAGAAACAATAAATTTTTGTTTTATTATTAATTTACTCCGGTCCTTTATCTGACTATTTGTAGAAATCAGTTTATTATTCTCTCAAGAAATGTACATGAACGTTCCTGGATTGATTAAATAAAAATAGAATAATTGATTCTAACAGACAATTTTGATAGAAAACTGTGGCAGCACAGCCTTAATTACAAACACTTTTGTTATGTTTATAGAAAAAACGTAAAACTTTGTTGGGGTTATGGGGTCAGATCCAAAGTAAAGCTCTTGATTTTTTTTAATTGTTCCGTTAATACATGTATCACCTGTACATATTTCATGTACAATGACCATCCAGATGATTTGACTTTAGATCAAGTGATACCGTAAGCATTTAACAGTTCACTTCCTCGATGATGTCTAATTATTTTGTTAGCCAAAATTCTTCGAGGATGTAAGAGTTCTGTTATAATAAACAATAAAGATTCTTAAACCTAATGGTTGCGTGTATTCTTAAAAATCGACTCTTTAATTCTTTATTTAAAGATTAAAATTTATACTTAATTGTACTGTTTGTTTGTTAGCTTTCTAATCTATCGCTATGCACCACCATAGCGATAGCACTCTGCATAAGTACATGTGGTATTTTGCTAAATATACACATGCACGGACAGTCGATTTTCGATATCATGACGTGCAGATTCTATTGAATTTATATTGTTTACAATAGAATCTGCACGTCATGATATCGAAAGTCGACTGTATATACGTATATACGTATATACATGTATATATATATATATATATATATTGGGAGTCTCAGAAAAACCAAGCAAATTACTCTAAGAAATTTACTTGGCTTTTACTGACGGAACGAACTCCCCATATACAAGTCAAATTTCATACTTTCTGCTTGTCTTTCATATTTGATTTTGAGATTATTTAAAATCATGAATCAACTTCCACCGAATCACCATCAATTATCTCAGCGACAACTCCCAGCTGGACATGTAAACATGGTGCAAAACATTATAAATGGGACCACTAATAT